AAAAATCCTCAATAATAAAAATTAATATGTGGCTTCATATATATCATAACACATATGATATTGGACCCCCCAATAAATTATATGTCATTAATATTAATATCAACATTAATTATTATATGAGCAGATAAATTTAAATATATTTATATTAGTGGTTGTATCCATTGATTATCCAGGTGTTTGAGTACTTGGTCAATCAATAAAGCTCAACATTTGGATAATTGGTCAGTCAATAAAGCTTGACACCTGGATAATCAGTCATTCGCTGAATATCCAATGATTTATAATCAGGAAAAATATTTTCAATACACTGCACCGAAATTATAATATGTATTATGCAAGATTTGTTTTTCAAAAATAATCGAATTTCTTTATATTTAATTGTTCAAGTATATACACAATCTCAGAATCTAAGCTATAAATTGATATAAATTTTTGGTATGCAGAATCTAAGCTTTCTACTAGGATTAATCCCTAGTGATTGTTAAAAGATTTAATTTAAATTGATTATTTTCAACATGAGCATATGATTTACCAAATGTAAAAATTACTCCACTTCAAATTATTTTGCCATTATATAAAATAGAAGGTAAGGAATCATAATATATTATTTATATTATCAGTGAATTGATTGACTTTTGTGACAGCAGATCTAGATGACACAGGGTCACTTTTGTATTAGTATTAGCATATTAATATGAGCTATATATATATAACATTATAACATTGCTAAAAAAAATATTCCTTCTTCATGTGAAGAAGTAACACTCCTGTGGAGAGCATTCTTTGAGAGCTTCACCCTCAAAGAATTTTTGGACACCATGCATTTTCCATATTAAATAAAGACACTTGCCATAAATGATTGAGCTGGTAGCTGCCATTGCCATAAATAGTTATTGGTAGCTACCATTTGCCGCAAATAGATATGGCAAGTGTCTTTAATCTAATTTAAAAAAATTCAACCAACCTGGAATTCGAATTGAAAGACTGATCTCACATTCACCACTTTCATTCAGTTTAATTTTCTCCACTATTTTATTGAGTGCAAACTCATTCTTAACCTGTTCTTCACCACTTTTCTTTTTATCTTCTTTGTAAATAAAAAAATATGAAGGGTTTCCTACTCTCAAAGTTTCAAAGTTTGTTTTAGCTTCATGACATAGAAGACACCAAAGGCCACTGTGTGTGGAAATCTACCCTTGAACCAGGATACAGATAAGTTGCAACAAACTATGACTACAAACAATATTTAGGTGTAAATGTGATGGGTGTATAGGTTTGAAATCAAAAAGATAAAAATATTTTATTTTACCTTCAGAACTAGAGAATGGGTAACGTACAACCAAAGGACTTGCATCAGTTGTTGGGGTGTCCCACATCATATGATTTACAAACATAGTTGATCACATATATAAATTTTTATTAAGAAGGATTTTTCAT